GGACAATAGAGTCACTTTAGTATAGCGAATCAGTTCAGTTGCGCATGAGTGATACACTCAAGTTTTTATAACTGGACATTAAAGTCACTTAGTAAGGTGAAAATTTTCGCCCTTTATGTCCTTTGCCTTTGCCTCCTCTATATGAGGTACCGGTAGTGGATTTGTTTTTTCCAGCCGCCTGTTTAGGTTTGGTTCTTATTGCTGTGCAAAATTGCAACAGTTCCTTATCAAATTTTTCCTTGCTAGCATTCATACGGGTATTGAGCTCGTTTCGGGCTAATCCTGAGGTGGAAGTGGCTGTTCCGATTTTTTGGAGAGCCTCATGTCTGATTTCTTTTAATTGATTATTAGTTTCTTCAATTTTATCCTCCAAGAATTTGATGGATTCTTGCATAAATTCCTTTTTCAAAGAATCAGCCTTTTCCTTCCAAAGAGATTGGAACAAAATGTCAATGTCCTTATCTCCAAGATTGGGATTGCAGCTGATATTCCATTTCATGAATGGTGGCAACGTATTATTTTTCATTGAAAAATAAATTCCCTCCCGGGCACAGGCCAGTTGGTGTCGTGTTCCCAGTTTTTCAGTGAAATTATCACAGGCAATGGACACAGTAGTAGAGAAATTGTCCGATTTGACATCGGGTGAATCAAAATCTGTTAGATTCAATCCATAATCGAACTGGTCTTCAAGTTCATTTTGCATTTTTGCAAATTGTTCTTGATTACTAGGTAAATCGTCAACATCCATTTTGATGTTTTGTTTTTTAGAGAGTGACAATCTGTTCATGATGAAATCAGAGTGATAATGACCAACTTTTGGGTGGTCAGAACGGCAAAAGGGTGTGAATATCGAGTTCTTGCCGAAACAAATCAATTAGATTAGATCAAATGAAAGGAAGTTCGGATCGCAGACAAAGTCGGCGATTCACGAGCAGTTAGAGTCATTCGGACATTGTCCAGACGTAACATGTAGTAAAAAAGTGACTCCCATCAAGCCACGAACCCCGTTTTCACTTAGATCCGACACTAATTTAGTGTTTCGGCGGTGTGATAACAGGCCAAGCAATAAATAGATATTCTATACTAATTATAATTAGTTATATAAGTCCGCCATCATCAGGAATCCACTTATATATATAAATATTGTATATTCATTTTATTTGTTTTATTATATACCGGTATGTTCTTTTTAAATAGTAGAACCGGTAAGGGAATTTCCCAAGGTCACGTAATGTTTAAATAATAAACACAGATGAAAGTTGTTTGTGTAAATAAATATGCAAGAAAGCGATAATTTGTTAACTGTCTCTGACTGAGATATGTCAGTAAATGATATGGTTGATTACATTGTAATTGACCAGTAAGTGAGGCTTTACTAACTTTTATTAAAGTTTTGAACTTGTTAGGAGATCTCCTAAACTCCTGTGTTTTTTATATGCAATAATTGGTTTGTCTTTGAATATATCTTTGAGTTCGGGCTCTCTTGATAGAGTGTGCCAGTATTTTAGCAATTTCTTTTTGATATTGCTAATGGCTGGGTTGTATTTTGTAACCATGACCAATGGTATATCAGAATTACTGTTAACTTTCTTTTTTTGAATTAAATGGTCTCTTTTGTAATTTTCTAGAACATTGTTCATTGAACTGTTAATCTCATTTTCATTATATCCTCTTTTCAACAGAGAAAATTTGAACTTCTCGATCGCATTGTGAAAAATATTAGAATCGCTAGTATTGCGTAAATGACGAATGATTTCGCCTTTAATAATTCCCCTGAAAACAGAAGGGCTATGTGCACTATTGCGTTCCAGATACTGGAAAGTATTAGTAGGTTTTATGAAAGTTTTGACATCAAGAATTCCTTCTAATTCAAACCTTTCTCCCTTAAATAGGGTGATGTCAAGGAAGTTCATTTCTTTGTCAGAAATTTCATATGTGAATTTTAAAAGAGGATGATGTGAATTTGCTATTTGGAAAAATTGATGAATTTCATCCATTTCCCCATGATAGATTATAAATCCATCATCTCGATATCGACCGCGATAAACAATATTATGTTGAAATGGAAATTTGTTTAGAATTTCCGAAGTGACTTCATACATTCTGATATCGCACACTTCAGGACTGCATTTTGAGCCCATTGCGCAGCCTATAATTTGTTTATATTTCTTAGAATTAAATTCAAAGACATTATTTTCTAATATTGTTTGTAACAACCACAGAAGATCATCTGTAGGTGGCGAAGGAATTTTAAATTCTCCTTTGTTGAATTTAGAGTATGCTTCACTGACAGCTGTGAGTAATTCGTTGAACTGCATATTTGTATACAGGGATGTTACATCATAACTGACCATTATGCATTCTGCTTGCGGTCTAAGTTTTTCTATTTTTATTATGAAATCAGAGCTATCTCTGATGTAAGTGGATTGTGTTTTGACTATTGGTATTAGGAAGTAATCAACATATTGGCTGATTCGTTCCGTCGCCGACCCGCATTGCGAGATAATAGGTCGTGCCGGGCAAATGATTTCTTGATTGTAGTGGCCCTGTTCTTTGATAAGATCAAACATCGTCTGATCTAATTTGTGAAGTTTAGGTAGTAAGTATAATCTACCTATTCGTGGATACGTAATATTCATTAAAAATCTATATGTAACTTTATCTAGATACCCATTTGCCTTAAGTTCATTGATTTTATTTTCAATATTCCTTTGGAGCAATGATAAATCAAAATCGTCAATTATTTCGTAATATTTAGTGTTCAATTGGCGATCGCCCTCCTTAATATAATCGTGTTTGTTCATAACAACACATATGTTGTTTTTGTCTGCCTTTTTAATTACAATATCGTGGCGATATCGTAACTGGTTAAGTGCTCTTCTCTCAAGTTGAGATAAATTATCAGAGCATTTTTTTATCTGAATTGAGGAAAGTTCAAGTTTGGTCTTATCAATGTAGGTTTCAAGTGCACCAATCATCTTAGGTGGTTCATATCCACTCTTTGTGTAGAAAGGATGAATCTCATCGTTATTAGTCTTGAAATTGAACTTACATCTCATTTTACGTGCAAGTTCATCAAAATCTTTGAGTAAGTCGTTTTTTGCGACTTTTGTCGAAGGTGTTGGGATGAATTTCAGCCCTTTTGCTAACAAAAGAACATACCGGTATATAATAAAACAAATAAAATGAATATACAATATTTATATATATAAGTGGATTCCTGATGATGGCGGACTTATATAACTAATTATAATTAGTATAGAATATCTATTTATTGCTTGGCCTGTTATCACACCGCCGAAACACTAAATTAGTGTCGGATCTAAGTGAAAACGGGGTTCGTGGCTTGATGGGAGTCACTTTTTTACTACATAATCAAGAAATCATTTGCCCGGCACGACCTATTATCTCGCAATGCGGGTCGGCGACGGAACGAATCAGCCAATATGTTGATTACTTCCTAATACCAATAGTCAAAACACAATCCACTTACATCAGAGATAGCTCTGATTTCATAATAAAAATAGAAAAACTTAGACCGCAAGCAGAATGCATAATGGTCAGTTATGATGTAACATCCCTGTATACAAATATGCAGTTCAACGAATTACTCACAGCTGTCAGTGAAGCATACTCTAAATTCAACAAAGGAGAATTTAAAATTCCTTCGCCACCTACAGATGATCTTCTGTGGTTGTTACAAACAATATTAGAAAATAATGTCTTTGAATTTAATTCTAAGAAATATAAACAAATTATAGGCTGCGCAATGGGCTCAAAATGCAGTCCTGAAGTGTGCGATATCAGAATGTATGAAGTCACTTCGGAAATTCTAAACAAATTTCCATTTCAACATAATATTGTTTATCACGGTCGATATCGAGATGATGGATTTATAATCTATCATGGGGAAATGGATGAAATTCATCAATTTTTCCAAATAGCAAATTCACATCATCCTCTTTTAAAATTCACATATGAAATTTCTGACAAAGAAATGAACTTCCTTGACATCACCCTATTTAAGGGAGAAAGGTTTGAATTAGAAGGAATTCTTGATGTCAAAACTTTCATAAAACCTACTAATACTTTCCAGTATCTGGAACGCAATAGTGCACATAGCCCTTCTGTTTTCAGGGGAATTATTAAAGGCGAAATCATTCGTCATTTACGCAATACTAGCGATTCTAATATTTTTCACAATGCGATCGAGAAGTTCAAATTTTCTCTGTTGAAAAGAGGATATAATGAAAATGAGATTAACAGTTCAATGAACAATGTTCTAGAAAATTACAAAAGAGACCATTTAATTCAAAAAAAGAAAGTTAACAGTAATTCTGATATACCATTGGTCATGGTTACAAAATACAACCCAGCCATTAGCAATATCAAAAAGAAATTGCTAAAATACTGGCACACTCTATCAAGAGAGCCCGAACTCAAAGATATATTCAAAGACAAACCAATTATTGCATATAAAAAACACAGGAGTTTAGGAGATCTCCTAACAAGTTCAAAACTTTAATAAAAGTTAGTAAAGCCTCACTTACTGGTCAATTACAATGTAATCAACCATATCATTTACTGACATATCTCAGTCAGAGACAGTTAACAAATTATCGCTTTCTTGCATATTTATTTACACAAACAACTTTCATCTGTGTTTATTATTTAAACATTACGTGACCTTGGGAAATTCCCTTACCGGTTCTACTATTTAAAAAGAACATACCGGTATATAATAAAACAAATAAAATGAATATACAATATTTATATATATAAGTGGATTCCTGATGATGGCGGACTTATATAACTAATTATAATTAGTATAGAATATCTATTTATTGCTTGGCCTGTTATCACACCGCCGAAACACTAAATTAGTGTCGGATCTAAGTGAAAACGGGGTTCGTGGCTTGATGGGAGTCACTTTTTTACTACATGTATTTGCACTAATGCAGAGAACAATTTTCAAATACACCATGTACACAAATATATACCTGGTTATCTGCATGGAAACGAATGGCAAGAGCAGTATACAACCTCTGAATGGCACAAGCTCTCACGTTTCTGCTATGGAGAATCATACCATAAATAGTTGCAGCTGTTGCCACTTTAGAATCAGATGACACATTGTCGCCTGTAAATAGTTATTCATAAAATATCTCAATACGTCTTAATTTATAAAATTATTATAGCATGCAGGGATATTGCAATTTAGGCATTAGTAAACATTACAGTAAGATTTATTCCTTTTGCTTTATAATGAGATTTAGCATATGCAAAATTCTGACCTCCCCCCCCCAAAAAAAAAATATCAGGCCTTCCCCTTTGACCGAACCATACTCTGGTTAAAGTGATATAATATAAGACATTCTTTCAACCACTATTATACAGATATTTATTGATAATTGAATAAATTTAAAAAAAAATCCATTTTTATGACTACTTCAACAATGAAAATGACAGCAGGAAAAAATGAAATCTTTATGCATATGTATGTGTCTTGAACTACTTGCAATTTTTGTAACACCTTTCATCCTTGCTGAGAAAAGTTGTGTGCATAAAGTCATTTTAACAACAGAAAATTGGCCATAACTCGTGACAGAAAGTGACGTTATCAATCATATTGAAAAAATTATACATTCACTGGTAGCATTTTTTATTTCTGTAAGTTTCGTGAGAATACACAAGTTTCAAGATTATCTCCCTTGGTGCGCTCTTTCGTTATGGAAGGGGGGGGGGGTTGTTTCTGCATAAACCGGCAGGTGGTACGGTTATTTATATTGGATACATTACATCATTGATAAAATTGAGAAAATAAGATTAACAAGACTTTACAAATTTATTACCACAGTTATAATGTGAAAACCTAATTTCCCAACCCAAATATAGTCTAACTTAACCCAAATATAATCTAAATTAAAGTAAGAGAATTTAAGGGGATTAAATAGAGGAATAAGGGGACAATTCCAGTATATGAAGCTAGCAAAGCCTGCTGTCTCCCTCCCCTATTTAATAGTTGCAAAGCTTTATACGTGTTACAGATATGAGACTTCGACGGTTGTTTCATTTTCAAGTATCCTAATCGAAAGATTTTGTAAATTGTATGTATAGTAAAGCTTAATAAAATCATCACTGATTAGCATTATCATCTCTGTATAAAATTAATTTCAAAAGCCACAGCCATCGTTCATTTATTTATGCAAGTTTGTATACTTAACAACCTGTCCCACTTCCATGCTAATATGGATACATCATACTTTTTGCACCTCTATCATTGGATAGTTACAATCTCAAAACTTGCGTACTGAGCTTTAAATACTGTTCCCAAGACATCATGTGCACAAAATCAGTAAGGAAAAGAAATAACAAGAAGTCTGTGAGCCAATGCTCACTAATAATACCCCCGCTCTGATGTGAATACACAAGTTCAGTTATGGACAAACACAGTGATAATCAGGAAATTGACATCGGATTTGTAAAAACTGAATCCCAACATATGGCATGCCTAAACAAAGAAAAAATTTCAAGCATCTGCGATGAGTAGTTGCTGAGAAAACTACGACCAAAATTTATTATGTATGGTACGGACAGACGCACGGATAAACAGGAAGTTGACATCGGATTTGTTCCAAAAATGAATCCTATTATATGGCATGCCTAAACAAAGATTGTGCTAAAATTTCAAGCATCTGCAATGAGTAGTTGCTGAGAAAACTGCGACCAAAGTTTGTTACAGACAGACAGACGGACAGACAGACAGACACACAAGGGTAAAACAGTATACCCCCCTCTCCTTCGGAGCGGGGGTATAATAATGAAAAAGAAACAAGAATAACAACAAGGTTTTCCATTGAGACAAAAGAACTTAATTAAATACAAACAATATTTACCTAATGAGAAAAGAAGCACTTCAAGAAGCTGCGGACAGTTTTGTTCCATTTCGTTAAATGCACTGAGGAACCAATGCTTCTCGGACAAAATATCTGGTCTCTTTTGAATTAGTATACTGGATCTAGCCATTCTTGTCAAATTGTCAGTAATCTCTTCAGTCACTTTATTTACTTGTTTACCATGAAGAAATTTAGAGATGGCTGTTCTGCTATCAATGACTGAGTCCACAGTATGTGTCTTTTCACATGTTTTAGAAGTCAAGAAACTGTAGTTGTGGTCACATAGATCAATGTCTGTCTTGTCTGAAGTTGTACATGTTGCATTACTAGTAGAGGGTGCATCATTTGTCTGAAAATTAAGTGATCTCAGGGATTTGCATGCACGCTGTTCTTTTTCACTTGTAGTCCCATCACTCACATTTTCTAAACTTATTTTCTCCACGGAACTGCACACAGACTAAAGTGTTGAATTTAGGGACTTCAGGGCAGAAGGGGGAGTTTTAGCCATCCTCTTGATCCTGTTATGACTATCATAAAAGCTGTTCAAATTGTTCAAACTATCCGTCTTAAATTTATGGTACATTTTACATGTAGTGCAACATTTTTCACACACGTTCATATGTTCCAGATAATTAGGATCTAAAGTTTGTCCTAGAAACTGTTCAACACATGTCTTGTAATTTTCTTTCACTGACTTACGCTTAGTCAAACAATGTAAACGTTTCTTATCATCCCCACAAAGCAAACAGCATTTATTGATAACAGTCTTCACAGGAGTTGTCTCCATCATTTAGGGCTTGGTGAGCTAGTTGATCCTTTGACTTTAATATCTTTACAGGTTTAACATGGTGCTATTTACAGGACACAGCAAAAACTGTTTCTCTAAACCACCTGACTTCACTCAGCACTCATGTCTCTAAAATTGACGGTAAACAAAAATCTTCACAAATGTGAACTTTTAAATAAATTCTTTAAATGCAAATAAATAAATAAAAACAACCTACCAAAGACCTCATATTTGACATCTTTCCAAGTTTACACAGGTATCATGCTGCTCTTTACAGGACACAGTCAAAAACTGTTTCTCTAAACCACCTGACTTCAATCAGCACTCATGTCTCTAAAATATAATGAGAAATTGATGGTAAACAAAAATCTTCACAAATATGAACTTTGAAATAAAAACTTTAAAAGCAAATAAATAAATAAAAACAACTTACCAAAGACTGCATATTTTACATCTTTCCAAGTTTACACAGGTATCTAAGTTCAAAATGCTGCTCTTTACAGGACACAGTCAAAAACTGTTTCTCTAAACCATATGACTTCACTCAGCACTCGTGTCTCTTAAATATGATCAGAAATTGACAGTAAACAAAATTCTTCACAAATATGAACTTTGAAATAAAAACTTTAAAAGCAAATAAATAAATAAAAACAACTTACCAAAGACCTCATATTTGAAATCTTTCCAAGTTTACACAGGTATCAAAGTTCAAAATGCTGCTCTTTACAGGACACAGTCAAAAACTGTTTCTCTAAACCACCTGACTTCACTCAGCACTCATGTCTCTAAAATATAATGAGAAGTTGACGGTAAACAAAAATCTTCACAAATATGAACTTTGAAATAAAAAAATTAAAAGCAAATAAATAAATAAAAACAACTTACCAAAGACCTCATATTTGAAATCTTTCCAAGTTTACACAGGTATCAAAGTTCAAAATGCTGCTCTTTACAGGATACAGTCAAAAACTGTTTCTCTAAACCACCTGACTTCACTCAGCACTCATGTCTCTAAAATATAATGAGAAGTTGACGGTAAACAAAAATCTTCACAAATATGAACTTTGAAATAAAAAATTTAAAAGCAAATAAATAAATAAAAACAACTTACCAAAGACCTCATATTTGACATCTTTCCAAGTTTACACAGGTATCAAAGTTCAAAATGCTGCTCTTTACAGGACACAGTCAAAAACTGTTTCTCTAAACCACCTGACTTCACTCAGCACTCATGTCTCTAAAATATAATGAGAAGTTGACGGTAAACAAAAATCTTCACAAATATGAACTTTGAAATAAAAAATTTAAAAGCAAATAAATAAATAAAAACAACTTACCAAAGACCACATATTTTACATCTTTCCAAGTTTACACAGGTATCAAAGTTCAAAATGCTGCTCTTTACAGGACACAGTCAAAAACTGTTTCTCTAAACCACCTGACTTCACTCAGCACTCATGTCTCTAAAATATAATGAGAAGTTGACGGTAAACAAAAATCTTCACAAATATGAACTTTGAAATAAAAAATTTAAAAGCAAAAAAATAAATAAAAAACAACTTACCAAAGACCACATATTTTACATCTTTCCAAGTTTACACAGATATCATGCTGCTCTTTACAGGACACAGTCAAAAACTGTTTCTCTAAACCACCTGACTTCAATCAGCACTCATGTCTCTAAAATATATAGTGAGAAGTTGACGATAAACAAAAATCTTCACAAATATGAACTTTGAAATAAAAAATTTAAAAGCAAATAAATAAATAAAAACAACTTACCAAAGACCACATATTTTACATCTTTCCAAGTTTACACAGGTATCAAAGTTCAAAATGCTGCTCTTTACAGGACACAGTCAAAAACTGTTTCTCTAAACCACCTGACTTCACTCAGCACTCATGTCTCTAAAATATAATGAGAAGTTGAAGGTAAAGAAAAATCTTCACAAATATGAACTTTGAAATAAAAAATTTAAAAGCAAAAAAATAAATAAAAAACAACTTACCAAAGACCACATATTTTACATCTTTCCAAGTTTACACAGGTATCATGCTGCTCTTTACAGGACACAGTCAAAAACTGTTTCTCTAAACCACCTGACTTCAATCAGCACTCATGTCTCTAAAATATATAGTGAGAAGTTGACGATAAACAAAAATCTTCACAAATATGAACTTTGAAATAAAAACTTTAAAAGCAAATAAATAAATAAAAACAACTTACCAAAGACCTCATATTTGACATCTTTCCAAGTTTACACAGGTATCAAAGTTCAAAATGCTGCTCTTTACAGGACACAGTCAAAAACTGTTCCTCTAAACCACCTGACTTCACTCAGCACTCATGTCTCTAAAATATAATCAGAAATTGATGGTAAACAAAAATCTTGACAAGTTCAACATGCTGCTCTTTACAGAGCACAGCCAAAAGTTTTTCTTTCAACCAACCAATTTCAATTAGCACTTGTGTCTAAAAATATAATCAGCATTGAATCACACAAGTGTTTTCATAATTAACAAGATCATGAATTCTTCTGAGACATGTCTTTGTTACATATGAGAATATGAAATATTTTTTTCCACATAAAATAACTAAAATCAGGGTTGGCACAACATTAAAAGAATGTATCTAAATATCTGTAGCATAAAACCTTACAAGCAAATCCCCCACTCAGCTGATTCGTACCCCTTTCTGTAAATTTAGGGGTTTGAAGAAGAATACCATGACATAACAGCCCAATGACACCTCAGCTCAGAGAAGTCAGCAAAATCCATAAGACAGACTCGTCACAGGTAAGCCCATATATCATAATCCAAGACACCACGGCCGAAAAAAAGCTTTCTTAGGAAAATTACATATATTTCCCATTTGTGACTTGAGCAGAATGTGATTAAAAAACGTAAATGAATAAATGACCAAGATTTATTTTAATTAAAAAAGACCTTCCACGTGCACACTAAGTTACAGACTAATATAACACACCCCCCCCCCCTATTTTTTATTTTCAAAAAATCGTTTAACCGTCAAAAAGAAATCTAAAACAATATCAATTCAAACACTGGATTATTTTCTTTCCATCATAAAATGTGGGTTGGGCAGAGCTGTCCTTTACATGTGCCGATGTGACAGTTTTAATATTTGGCCATGTCAGGACCGTGACGGGTTGAGTTGTCGTTGGGCAGTCTTTTATCTTTAAAAAGCATGTAAATCACAAGAAATACTTTAAACAACTTAAATTTACACTTACTAAAGACCCTGTCTCTTGTGCCTTTACAAATTTTGTATATTTCATTCATTTTAGGTTAACATCAAACATCAACGTGGTCTACAGGAAGCAGCCATATTGTTTCGAAAGTAGTCCCGGTAAAATGGCGCATTACGTGATACAGCCGAGGTTAGATGAGGTACGAATCGGCCGAGGTGTGCCGAATGAGAAACTTTTATTAGAACTGCCTTGTGACGTATATTTTTCATACATTCGTACACCGAACCCGAAACCGAGCCCGACATTAATACATATTCACTACACTATATTCCTGAAAATATATATTTACGTAAGGCACCAAACGTTTCTAAATGTAGAATGAGCGATCCTTTCTTGTTAATATTTAAATGTTCAGTATTAACGACGACGGACTTAATTCGAAATTTCGCGCCAATGCACCTTGAATCAAATTAACTTAATTATGTATTGCAAAAGATAAAAAAAAATATATACATTTTTAATTCTTTTAAACATATTCAAACGTTTTTCTTTCAATTCAAAATATTGTAAATATTTAATTTATACTTATTTGTTTATTTTATAAATAAATGGTTTATTTGGTCAATGTATCTTCATTGAAAATTTTCCCCAAAATGTGCCCTACACCTGAGTTTGACATGCCCCCCCCCCCCCCCTGAAAAATCTAAGCCGATGTCCCATTTATTTTTTGGCATAATTTGCTGGTTAATTGTCTTGTTAACACTGTCCTTTAATATGAATAACAATTCTATTGCAGAATTTTTTTCAAAGATCACTCTTATACCCTACACTGGCAATTTCCCATTACTTCCTTTAGTAATTATCGATTTCAATCGCTAACTTTTGAAACGCTCCCCATTAAAAATCTACATCGATAACCATAGGATAATTTTATTGATTTAAACTCACCAAAAGTCACTTTACCTCATATTAAAATTTGAATAAAAAATCTATTGCAGAAAAGAATTAGGTCCGTCGTCGTTAAGTATAACGAGAGGGGAAAGGGCTTTTGGAAATTAAATACTTCTGTTCTACAAGATCCCAATTATTGTTCTTTGATCAATGACTTTTTATCCAACTTCCTAAAGTTATAGAAAATGAGAATAATGCCATCACTAAATGGGAACTGATATAACACCGCATATAAAATATAAGCATACAATTCTGCACCAAAAAAATTAAATCATTGAAAAACAGAAAACAAAACATTTAAAATGAAATATAGTCACTATACACAAATCGATATGATACATAAAGAAGACTTAGAAGATGAATTAGACACACTGTATAAATATAAATCCGAAGATGCGCAAATACGATCGAGGGCTAAATGGATTGATGAAGATGAAAAGTTTACCTCTTATTTCCTAAGGCTTGATCGATTTTCACTCATATGAAGACATCACCATATACCGATGAAGGGCTTCAAATTTAGACCTATACTCGGCACTCAGGGCCATTGAGCAGTGAGGGTTCTTTATCGTACCAACGCCTACCGTGGCACGGGGCCTCGCTTTTTAAGGTCTCATCCGAAGGACCCGCAAGTTTCACTTCAGTGTGCCGAGCGCTTAGCGAAGGAACAGTTGCTGCATATTTTTTAATTGACTTGGGTCAGTTGCGGTCTTGATTCGAACACACGACCTTCAGATCACGGAGAGAGCGCTCTAACGACCGAGATACCGTGACAACTCTTAGGCTTGAAAACAAGCATCAATCACATAATGTAACAGTTATTAATACAATAAGAAACGGTGACCAGACTTAAACTGACGATATACTAAATCAGCTTTGTTTGTTTTACGAAAATCTTTTTCTCAAGTAAAGATATTCTAAGCGAAGACATTAATAGTTATTCAAATAATACTGAATTTGTAAAGAAAATAACAAATGCGGAAAGAATAAACTGCGACAAATTTCCGTCTCTTAAAGAATGCGCAGATGCATTACATGATTATCAAATGAAACAAAATAAAACGATAGTTTACCAGTAGAATTTTGCAAAATGTTTTGGAAACACATTAATAAGTAATATTATTATGCTTTAGTATCATTATTCATAAAAGGTGAATTATCAACTACACAGGAATGCTTTGTGCTCTCTCAAATACTAACAAAGATGCTTTAGATAATCTTGAAAATTATTGGCCAATTAGTCTTTCTAATACATAGATTACAAAATTATAGCTTTTGTGTTTGCGAAACGATTAAAATGTATGATAAATGACTCGATAAAAAAAATCAGATATGATATAATTATAGATCGATTCATCGGTGCTAATGCTCGACTAATTTAAGATATTTCAGAATATTGTGAAAATAATGAAAATGACAATGGTCCGTTTCGTATATTTGAAGTGGAGCCAAACTTGGAAGTTTTTAACTCGTGACAATTAAAAGTGAGAAACAGCAAATCAAATTCCAAGCACAGAGAATAACAACCACCAGCGTCCAATATCAGACCTTTTTAAGATTGATTGAGTATGATCGTTGTTTTACGCCGAGTCGGCAATATTTCCACCATATTTCGGCAGTACAAATTTTAAATATTTATTAACGGTTTTGGAGTTTCTCTGGCGGCCCCCAATGAACCTACTTTGTCGAAAATCAGAAAAATGATCTTTAGCGTGTCCAGGGGGTTGCAATCCTTGACACGGGGCACAATTTAACGTCCCATCCGACGGGCTTGACCTGTTAAAGATCAAATTTAAATATAAAGCAGGTATATCCACAACTTCCACTTCACATTTATTCCCCTTGACACAAATGGAAAAAAAACCCACATCGACAAGATTGTTAGCTGAACGGTAAAAAAATATTGAAGAAGGTATGTATTAAGATAAGAGCAAAACGCTTCGCACCGAATTCACAACATGATAAGTCAAACTGATTTTGAATTGTGAAAGATGCTGAACTCCTTAATCGTTAAATTTAAAAAAAAAAGTTTAACATCACTTGGGGTTTTACACTAATTGAAGTTTTATAGGATATGGCGATTAGAATATTAGAGTAAATAAAGCCTATTTATAAATACACTCAAATTTGTATTTCTCATTGAACTGTTTTAAAAATGCCGTTATCATCTTATAAATCACTAAACTTTTTCTTGTTCAATTGTCATGTTTCATCTTCCCCAGGAAACATCTTTTCCAGAGCATTCATATAACAAACAGTATTGATAGTTTTGGTGACGATTCAAACTACCACCTA